TCCAAGTACCTGCTTATTTGTCATTACACAGAGAACACCGAACACCAAATAATATAATTCAAGTAGAATCCACCAGTTTCCCTGCTAAAAGTCTTGAGAGAGTTTTCCAGTTAGGTATAAACACAATTAACATTAGAAAAGCTTGAGGAAACATTAAAAGTAAGTCAAGGATGTGCCTCTAAGCAAAACTCCTTTCAAAGCAGAGCTCTGCAGCACTCCTGTTGTGCAGCCCACGGAGTAGGTGCCCTTTTCTTGCAGGCAGGACAAAGTTATATTTACATAGGACTGCAGAGCAGCAGCCAGGCAAGGTACCGAAGCAGGATACATTGGCATTGCTTATATCCCGTGAGCAGGACAGAATACAGATAACTCCACCCTTAATAAGAAATTGCATTGTTTAGTCATGGAAATTAAGTAAATGCAATCGAAGCATACAAAATTTAGGGAATGAGTCTACTGAGGGCAATGCTAGAAGAAGCAGAGTCATCCAGGGAGGACCTGAAGCCGCCGATATCTGAGATTTAAAATGGAAAGGATGTTTTTAAACAAGGCCTCCGAAAGACAACCTAAGCTGACAGAACACACACATGGGGTGATGCTTGGCATACAGCAAGATTAAGCAGCATTGAGCAGTGTGGTTAACAAGAGGCTGCAGCTCAATGAAAAATGAAGCATTTCACATCAGGTTTCCTTGCTCACATGCCTCTTTCCACCCAGGAAGGCCGAACCCAGCATAAAGCCTAAACCGATAGAAACTGCATTACCAAATAGGCTGAATCTTTAAAAACTGCCTTGCTGTTAGGAAAGAAATGATCTCGCTTGTCTTTTAATATAGAAAAAAATGCAAATTTAAACATTCAGCTTGAAGGGGACACGGCACTTCTCCAAAGCACCACCCCAGAACAGGGCACGACGCTGGCGATGAAGGAGGATGAGGACGGTGTTACTAACATGTCCCCTCACAGAGTGGGTTCAGGACCTGAGTTTTTAACTTCAAATAGACATTAAAACAAACAAACAAAACACACACCAGTAGGCCAGCTCTAACCTATAAATACATTGCATAGGCTGTAAAAACACTGCACTGCAACTGCACGATACTGGTTTGCAGCAGTACTAGTGGAAGGCAGAGGGCTGTTACTCACAGACTGTCCTCGGCTAAGGCAAAGTTATTCTGTTCATTGTGGAAAAATATTTCCATTTCAGGACTTTTTAGTTATTAAATAACAAGACAATCAACATGAAATTCTTGTAGGTACTTCTGTCATATAACTGACATTTCTGTAACATCTCTATTAGTAATTCCTTTAGAAGGTGTTCTATACTACAGGATCATGACCAAGTTCACCAATTTAGAAAGATGATGTAAAGGTTTTTGTGAGAATCACTAAAATTGCATGCTTCAATCCTCAAAAAAAAGCTTAAAAAAGTATATTAACTATTTTAACAATGACAGCTCTTCCTTCTAGTATTTCTTCAGGTGAATTCAACAATCCTTTCTTGCAGAAGGAGAAAGCAAGAGTGTGAACTAGGAAACCCAGTATGGAGTCTGTGAGCTATAATTAGTGTTACTACCACCAGCACTGAAATGCACTTAGGGATTAAAAGAATTGTAACGTGCTGTAATATTCATATTGAATCCACCCTACACAAAATACCCATAGAGGAAAAGACAAGTGGTACACAATTTCTTGAAATTTTCCTTCTAGTTCTTACCCTGTGTGAGTAGAATGATGAATAATGGCAACTTTTAAGTCTCAACTTTGCCTATTAGTCACCGTTGTTTAAAAAAAAAAAAAAAATCAAAAAGACTATTATCATTTTCAGTGAGAAACATGAGTAGCATTAAATCAGATGCCTTACCCCAGAGATAAGAAATACTTTACAGAAGTCCAAAACAGGTAAAATCTGCAAAAAGCTGGCAGCTTCCAGAGTGTCCTGAAGGTTGTCCATGTTAAGGGAAAGTTTTGCAGTATAGATGAAATCGATGATTTTCTTTAGGCCTATTTTGTTCACACCATGAAGCTTAATGCACATTAAATCCTGCTCCTTCATGCCTCCTGCGGAAGACACAGAGGTGAATTCATACTATCATTTTGATGAGGACTGATTGACACTCAACACCGGGCACGTGCTGGGGTGTCCAAGCGGTGGTGACACAGGGACAGCCACACGCATTACTGCAAAGGAAACCTCACCTGTGAACATGGCCTTGAAGTAATCGCTTGCAGAAGCCATCATGGCCCGGTGCACCGGGAACACCTCGTCGCCGTCGCCGGGAACGAGCGTCACGTCGCAGAGCAAACCCTCCACCCGCAGCTGGTCGAATCCCTGCAAGGAGAGCAGAGGCTGAAGGGTCTGTTCGATCTGAGCAGGGAGCAGGACTCCTTGCCTGCCTAGATGAAGAGTGAAATTTATTGACTTTTATTCACATACACACTATACAGCCAAAAAGCCAGCAAGCTGTCCTCCTACATACCATATTATCTAATATACCAAATGGTAACTATTCACTAGAAAACTTAAATTGAGTAATTATTATTTTCCATAAGTAAGTGAAGGATGCAAAGAGCACCGTGCTATACTCATGACACATCGTTTTCAGAAAGCAGGTTTCTTTCTCTTTTTCTCCTCCAACTCCTTATATTCCATAAGCTGTTTTAGGTAATGACAGGTATCATCACTTTGTGACCTATCCATTCTGGACACAAGTTCATTCTAATATATTTCTGTTCCAGACCGCTCTGCAAACAAAGAGGCTGCAAAAGGCTGGGGTTTGCAAGGACAGCAGTCACCCAGTTATCAAGTTTACTGCTGAAGTAAAGGCAAGCTCCAAAATACGCTCCTACATTAGTGTATCTGCTCTCCTTCTCTCAAGCACTTTACTGAAGTACAGTGCTAACTAATGAAAGAAATAATATGCCAAATATTTTCCTTCCAATGTACGCCTGCTTGGGGATGCTGGCAGGTGTGTGCAATTCTAATCTCCTTCATGCACTGCAGAACAGAGGCTCAAACATAAAACAGTTTCCATCAACCTCTTATTTTTTAAAAGTACTAACAAACATGCAAATATTGCTGTTACAGGTTTAACACTTGAGAAAGTCTTGGCATCGGTTCCTAGGATTTAAAATTTAAGATCCCTTAAAGAAAGGCTGTATTTTTAAAACTCTAAAGGTAAGCAGAAAAGGACATTCAAATTTGTCCAACCAAAAAGAACACAGTACCAATGAAGAGATGAATTATTAGCTCTAATAAATATCAGAAGCCAACGCAGGATTATGTTCTACAGCACCTTCTGTGATATTTATCACCAAGCTTTCACACCAATGTCAACTCAGTGTAACTCATGACACAGTGTTGCACTGAAGCCAGGACTCTCTACAGGGCATAAGAAAATGGACTGTAATTATGGTATCAGGCTTGCAAAAATTTGGCAATAAATAGGGGAAGCAGGATTCCTTATTCCGAGCAGCTCATTTCTGATGCACGACAGGATCAGATATTTCGCACTTTGCAAACTTGGGCATTTGGAGAAGCAACCTTCTGATTTTCAGCTCTTATGAAACTGATACATTTCAAGGACTTGAGCAACAGTTTTACAAATATCAGCTTTCCAATGGCTCAAATTGTGAAGAAGACTAGGATGAGGAAGAAATAAGACCTCAACACTTGGCCTAGGTTTCCCAATACCCTTATTTTCTTGTATGTTCTCATCCACTTTAAAAGCGAGTATCATTGCTGCTAGAAAACTGAGGGCAGAATCTCAGTCTAATAATGTGCAAATTGAGCCCAGCACAGTCCTGCATCTGGTGCTTTCTGGTTTTCTTCTCCCTACTTCTTCGCTGACAGCAGTTCTCCAAGGAATCAGGCCACACTCCATGCAAACCTAACTGCACTCCTGAGGGAGCTTGGGCTGGAAAGCAGCAAGAACAGCCCAAGTTTTAAGCTTGGTACTGTATGATGTGCAAAACCTCCAGCAGAAACGAGAAAATAAAATGCGTTTATAGAGAGATTTTTAAAGTTTGAGGGGATGGTGTTTTTATCTATTAGGAGAAAGCACTACCAAAAGTACTGCTCTGTACTATTTTTTTTAAAAAAATTATATCTTTTGAGATTAAAGAAATACAGACAAGTAAAACTGTTAAATTGATCAAGAGGGAAGACGGGGCATTATGAGAAAGAGGGATACTCATTTGTATCTGACAAATTAAAGCCATCTGCAACAGAACACCTATTTGGTATACTGGCTGCAAGAATGTGAAATTCTTTGATTTAATGGCTGTACTTTGTTTGCTTGGCTAATTGCTAGACTGCAGGCCATTTCACAGGTACTTCTGTGGAACATACTTACAGCAACTAAAATATCTACCCAGAAAACAGAGCATCTTGCTCTCTGCAGACAACAGGCTCCCCAGCAATGCGTGGGCTCTGCTGCTGCCATGCAGGAGTCACAGGCACTTGGCTGTTTTCCCAAAAGCCATTTTTTTTTCAGGCTGTTGCTGAGAGTTGAACCTTTAGCTCTGTGGAAGGGCTGTGACAAGCCGCGTTGCTCTGGGGCACTGTCAGCAGAGCACACAAACCATACGCTTTCCAGGGCTTCTTGGGAATTGCCAGCTTGAAAAGGTTGCAGAGCAGCTTGCTTAGAGCCTTCCAGAACCTCCATACAGGTCATTTTGGACACGAGAATATGCAATTACCTGCAATACCACAGAACTGTGCGTGTTGCTGGTGAAAAATCTCGTGGTCCCTGTCTTCGAAGACTGCAGATGGGCAGAGACGCCCATATCGCTGCTCCCCAGAGATACTTTCATATGAGGATCCTCCTCTTCCACCAGAGATCTAAGGAGATCAGAACACAGCAGCCTTAAGAGAAAATGCATTTTCATTCCAGGTCCTTGTGTATTAAAGCCACAGTCTTCTCAGGTAAAAAGAAACAGCATAGAGGCCATGAGGCAAAATCAGCAGGCAACAAAACCTGTCCTTAATGGTCATCATCTAACCTAAGAAAGGGAAATGTTAAAATAACTAAGCAGTCTAACTTCAAAATTTATTTTTCAGCTATTCTTTTACTTTTTATCTCCAAAATTAATAAGCTTGGGCACTGTTTTACTTCTATATATGCTGCTAGTATTTAAGGTGTTTTCAGGCATTCAACATTCAACATCAAGTCTTACCACACTAGATTGCCATCAAAAGCTAAAAGATTAAAACCTTAAAGGTAATTTTAAAGTTCAGTAATTTCATTTTAGGGGCAAGTATCAGCTTGCCCAAGTATGAAAATAACAATAGAAAATATATAATGGAGTCTCAAACAGTACTCTTAGGAATTCCTAACTAGAAGAACTCTTCTAGGATATGAAATTTAGTATTTGACTATTGCTGGCAACCATTTCATTTAATTTTCAGTTAATATTTGTTAGTGTGAAGAGTCAGTACATGCAATTTTGATCGCAAATAATTACTGCCCAATCTAGGTAGGAATAGCTATTTTTAGGTAGCTCTTAAAAATTATCCATTTGTAACTGACCTCTCACTTGAATCTTAAGATGTAAAGTAGATTTACAGAGATGTGCATATAATATTCTACCTACCCTAACCAGTAATTATTGTAAACTATAAATAACCTTAATCTCTAGAAATATTAATGATCATTACCCATAATTTCCATGATTTACTACAGTTCCTACTGGCATGCACACCAACATAATGCATGCTCTCTCTATAGATGTGCACATATACAATAATAATTTGCAAACATATGCTGTTAACTCATAGATGGGTGAGGGTATTTTCATTATCAATAAAGAGTCCATATTTCCAAAAGATTCGTAGCAAATCAATGTAAGTGCTGCAAATCTCAGATACAAAAAGCTCTCCCAACTTTTACATGCAGGTAAAAACATTGGGCTCCAAACTAGTTTCAGAAATTACTTGAAATAAGTGACAAGAATGTGTTCTAATTAGTTCTCCTTCCTCCCAAGATTTGACTAGGACCACTATGTAAGGGATAAAATGGGAATTTGCAGATACAAAAAATTTGCCTTTCCCCCTTTTTTTTTGGTAGGTTGTCTACTTACAGCAGTTTCTGAAACTTATGAGTTTTTCTGATAGCACTTATGTGCCTTGTTCAAACCCATGGTTCCTTAAGGTCAGCTATGAAAGCATACTCAGAACAAATTCACAGTCCACATGGGTTTGAAACGGTGAGATTTTATGCACACAGACATAACAGATTGTAGGAACAAGGGTACAGCTAAATAGCTTTGACTTCTAATGTAGTAACCCAATATTTATACGTCCAAAAAAATCACATTAAATGTGGATGCCCTGTAGGATGCAATAGCTCAGTTGTTTTAAAAAGAGTGATTTCCAATTTATAAACCACACTCCAGATTTGTTTTAAATAAAGTATTTTACATAGTTTATCATACTCAGAAAAGCATTTTCCAAACCACCCTTGGCATTCAAGAAATGCATCACTCACCATCACACAGCAACAAACCAGTTGCTAGCATGCAACCCAGAAGATTTTTTTGTTCATGTTGCTCTAGATCTTTGTTAGTTCAAACATAATCACATCAAGGAAAGAGTCTGCTGTGATTTGAACAGACATGCAGTCTTTAGATTTGTTTACATGTCTTTCTACAAGAAGAAACACAAAATAACGTTGGGAGACTTCTGCGCGTGGGTGGGAAAGAGCTGCAGATTCGACGAGCATTAATTTGACTGCAGATGCTCTTGAAAGATCTTCCAGAAATGTCAGATGAGACGAGCATTGCATGAAGGGGCTTATACAAGACTTTTCAAACATGGGAGCAAACAGATGCGCTCCTCGATCATTAAGGGGGCGAGCAAGCCAACCTGCTTGCTGGTTTGGAAGGGCCTTTTACCGTGGTTGCCACACGCTCTTTGCATTCCTCACCAGCTAACATACTTAATAATGCTTGCAAACGAAGGCAAACACCTGGATAATGATGCATTCATGTCAACAGCTGCAGAAATGATGAAACCTCCTTCCCTTTCTGGAGAGGCCACTAGGAAGTGACAGGATTTCAGTCACTGTCACCCAGCTCCCTTCTAGGAGGTCCAACAACCCACCAGGGTCCATCACCACATGCATTTCCCCACCCAGACCAGGCCAAACACACACTAAGGGTAATGAAATACTGAAAAATTGAGGATCAGCAACCTCCATTTTATTCAGGTGTTCAGCACTTTGCATCTGCAGCCCTGCAAGTAGGAGACCAGTAGATACTGGAAAGGGCATGCACTTTGCAACTTGAATAACTGGCAGACTACAAGATAGTCTGTTTGGCACTTCCCTGGTAGACAATTTGGCACCATCTCTGCTAGTTTTTGCCATTACAGAGCACTCGGTGTATTTTATAAGCATCTCTGAAAATAAATTGCATAAAGCTGCCCAAGCTTTGTCCTAAAAGGGCCTCTAACATAGGATACCTCACTGCTAGAGCATACACAGTGGAGAATACAATAAATTTTAAAACATTTGTAACACTTACAAAGCTGAGATGTGAGCTGAAATGTGCCTACAAGGAATTATTTTTCCCTTCCTGGTTTTCAATCCATAATGGGCAGATGTCTAATATCTCTACCATGGACACGAAAGCTGAGCAGCTCCGGAGCCTCCCTGTGCAGAGCTGCCCTGATGCCAATCGTGCAGAACATGCTGCCCTTCTCCCTCCTCTGCAATTGCTGTTAGATATGCACAGGAATATAATATAGCTTGTGTAGCTAATTGGACATCAAAAATGCAAGTCTGAACACTACATACATCCACCAGAAATATAAATGTTACAGTTCTAACCTTAGCTGCTAACTTGGCTGCATTTGACTCGCTGAGAATAATTTTAAAAGATAACCAGGCAATACTGTTCCTATAGCACTAGCCTTTGCTTTATATTTAAATAGTCATTATGAGGCTTTTGTTTTGCCCACTAGAGGCAAAAACGAGTTAAAGGGCATTGCACCGTTCAAACAAATCAACTGTATTTCTGCTGCATTTCATTCCATGTTTTGAGACTTTCCTCTCTTTGAAATCAAGATGTTGTTTGCTTTCCTGGAAGGTTACTGCAAGTTTTAATACAATCCACATGAGCTCGATTTTTAGTCCCCACTCATTCCCATCCCAAACCAAAACGTTGTTTCATACACGTTGCATCTTTCACCTACAACTCCCTTAGTTTAGAGAGGACCAGCACACGCTGCTATTAGACAGAAACGGCTGATGACTTGAGGAGTTTATTTTGCTAAAAGTTGCAGTGCAAGTCAGCAATAACGCCTGGAAACAGCAGACGTCGTGCCGGCTGAACCCCAGCGTGTGACGTACACACAGGAGGAAACAGCGCTCCCAAAGTGACCAGGGCTGGAATTTGCCACTGGCGTTGTACCAGGTTCAACATTTACTTTCACATACCAAGAGAAGCTACTTATCTTTGCAAGAAGGTGGAAATGCAACAGCACTTACATATTGCATTGAAACCAGTAGACAAAGAAGTGAGAAAAACACTATATTTATATATAAGAAAACTGTCCTCTAAAGAGATTTCAAATTATTCAGAGTATAATTTCCAGTTTGGGAGCTGTAAAGCAAATATTCAGGAACAGCTCTGCTGCTTATGTCCAGGCCACAAAGGTTCATCTGAGTTTGCATCCAGCTCAATCCCCAGTGCACTCGCAGCCAGCACGACTGCCTTGTTTAGGCACCATTTCCAACTGCATTATTTATATTCATTAACATCGGTCTGCCAAGCACTATAAGTAATTAGATAATAATGAATGCAAATACATTGATTTGTACTGTATTGTAAGTACAGTATATCACGATTAAGCATACTACCAAAGAAGAAAGCTAATTCGTTTTCTAATTAATTCCATTGTTCTGATCAATAGAAGTCATTAAACAAGAAGTGCAGCAGGAGCATTTTTAATCAGGAAGAAAAAAAGTTGGTAGAGACAAGTACAATGGCATGCAGTGATAATTCACAGGAAGCTGCTATAAATATGGATATTAACTCCACTTCCCATATATACACTTGGTCTCTAGTACGGTTTTCCATAATAATTACTGGAACTCCTGGATTCTCTTCATTTATCTTCTCTTTACATTTATCCTTTCTAATCTTTTTAATCAGGCAACCTCATCGCAGGTAGTTTGTGCAGGTACCTTTAGAAATAGAACTTCAGAATGGGAAAGACTGTAAGCCAAACGCTGAGCTACAAAAAAAAAAATGAAAATAATGTGTTTTTTTTTTCTGCTGAGCTACAAAAAAATATATTAAAATAATGTGTTTTTTTTCTTTTTCTTTTTTAAGCTCGGGTATAAGACAAGTAAGGTAGAAGTTCAAATAAGAACAATTCAGTAAGGTCATTCTACGTCTGCCTCATTTATTTCAAAGAGATGAACTTCAGTGGCTTTTAAATGCTAGTTGGGCAGGTATATAATGTCCTTCATCTAATCACAACACAGGTCCAAATGTGGAGGGGAAAACGACAAGAATGAGAAGCTTCTGTTAACGAGGAGATGACCAGAAGGTGAAAATCACCCCAGTGAGTCTTTGTATTGAGTTTCTAAGCTTAATTGCTAGCAGCTACAAGGAGATAGGAGGCACCAGCAAGTATCTGGCCCAGCACAAGTATTAGGGAGGTGAGTATTTTTGGAGTTTTTTTTTTTTTTAATTGAATTTTTTTCACACAGACACAAGCCTTTGCAGGACTGCTCGCTGTTACTACTGCACACGCACTCTGGGTTATCTGCAGTGATTTACAGAGGCTGCAAGGACTGACCTCAAAAGCAGAGCAGAAATACCCATGGCAGCACA